TCCACATGCGTATGCTGCTCCAGAGGAGGGTATCAGAGGACATTTTGGATAAAAACATGCCGTAAATGACAGTTTTAAATCGAATTTGAATGTCGGGGCTCAGGGACATTTAGTTGACACCACAGGAGCAGTATGGAGGGATTTTTCTGTAGTTTGTTGTACATTTGAAGGAGTCACCAGTTATTTCAAATGTATTGGATTTGGCTGCAACATTGTTTACCCCAGAAACTCCAAAAGTGTTTTGTTGACTCAAACGCTTCACCCACCTCTCCATCAGCATAGTGGTGAGTAGATAATGAGTGAATTTACATTTTTGGGTGAACTATCCCTTTAAACACATATTTATGCTTCTCAGAGTCCATACATCAATTTGTTTGTCTTCACCGTCACAATATGAACACTGATCACCACATAATGACTGACACTTCTCTTAAATTGGTAACATCTTTCCTCATAGCTGACCACATTCATTCATTCAGTCCTTCCTCTTCTAGCTTTCTTGTTCTTTCTTGCTGACACAACGACACAAACATTGTCATTGGACACATGTGTTAACTTAGACTTGATAAAAACAACATAAGTTTGTGTTCACAAACACAAATGACAGTCGTGTTCATTTGCAACTAGAGCAAGGAAGTGAGCTCCGATCACAAATGGTCAAAATAAGGATAAGCCGGTGAGTCAGAAGAGCAGGTGCATTCTGGTCCGTTAATCTCCTTACTTCCTAGTATAGCCACTGGTGTAAAAGAAGACAATCTCACAAAGTCTGACATGTTAAAACCAGGACATATTTTTCTTAGACTGTAAACATGAACCTCATCAATCATGGATTCTTTTTTTCCACAAACTTCTCATATTGTTTTTTTTTCGGATCATGTCTTAAGAGAGTTACCATAAAACCTGAGATGTTACTGGAAGATAAATGAGCTTGTAGAGGGGAGCAGATGTTGGCTAGCGGTCTCATTTGAATGTTACACTGATCCTCTGTTTATGTTTGTGTGGATGGAGGAAAAGAGACTGTGTGTGTGTGTGTGTGTGTGTGTGTGTGTGTGTGTGTGTGTGTATTCCTGACCACATGAATTTGTATGTAAGTGTGTGTCCGCACGTGGCTATGCGTCCAGTGCCGGCCCTCCCCATCAGGCGGAGGTGGCAGGTGTTCCTGTGTCCCCTTAAAAAAGAGCAGGTTTTTATGTCGCCTCCTCAAGTTAGTGGCTTGGTTGTCATGGCGATGCCCTAACAGAAAGAGGCTTGTGTCTGGGGGCCGGTGCCGGGGAGGAGAGGAGGACAAGGGAAGAGGAGAGAAGGGGCTTTGCTCACACCACACACTACGGACTTCAGTCTGGCTTGACAAGAAAAAGGACGGGAGGAAATCAAGTAAGGGAGACAGAACAGGCTCGGTTTGTCTGCTGGCATTGCTGGGATTTTTTCACAAAATACTGCTTAAATATTAAGCTGCTGATGGGGTGGATAAGGTCTGACTCACAAAAACGGCGGTCTAAGTGATGCTTGTAATTTCTGACAATGGGTGTGAGAGGTTATAAAGGAATCCAATATCACACATCCTATCAGATTCCCTCCCCAGGTGTGACAGCTGTGTGCCTACAGACTTCTGCTTATTACAACTGTACCCTGGGCTTTGTGGTGCGGACATCCCCCTCTATTAAGGTGGGACATGACAGGCCCACAATCAATCTTTCCCTCTCTCTCTGTAAATGTCTGTGTGTGTGTGTGTGTGTGTTTGGTTGTATGGGTGTGGGTGTGGGTGGGTGTAACGAGATCTGGGTAACTCTGGGAGTCACCTGTCCCTTGTTGGCCTCTCTCTTCCCTCTTGGGAGGGCTGCAGTTCTCTTTTGGCCGAGCTGATCAGCAGCTGCCACGCGCAAACACTCACACAAACACACAGACACAAAAACACACACAAGCATAGAGGCAAACACACAAAGAAACGCAAACATCATTTCTTTCACAGCTCGGAGTTAAAGACTGAACTGGCCTTTTTGGGGACGATTAAAAAGCAGCAGTGCGTCTTGACTCACATGTTGTGATTTGGTAAATGCCACACTAACATTGCCCACAAATTTAAGAGCATTGTGAGTAATGCTGAGTTCATAGGGACATTTTGAACATGGTTGATCAAACACCTTGATTTTGTTTGATTGTGAGTCACTTCCCTGTCTGGTATATGATTGACGAGGAACTAATAAAACCTTCTTTTATATAAATGTCACTCGATTCAAAAGAATTGAAGTTGCACTTATCTCTATTTTTATATTAACAATGGTTCAAATAACTGTGTAACATGGAAGGGTTCGTTCATAGTGAACAGCCCACTGAGAATATTCAGCCAACCAAAGATTTCTCTAAGGTCTGTGGAGCGTTTTAGCATCTTTCAGCTTGCTGATTTGGTTTTAAAGCAGTTTCCAGACACTTGTTGGCTCCGGGCATTTTCCGCAGTTAGTCTTTGATACATGAAGACCGCAGCACGAGATTGTTCGGGCCACACACATTAATAACAACAGGAACATTTACGGAACATTGTGTTTCCAAGTGGACGTCTTTGTCTACATCTCCTACATGTACAGCTCCTCTTTTTCGTCATGAGATAGTCGTATTCTTTCGGTTTTGCGTCCATACCATTTTAGAAACTCCATCGACATGCCCACTGGCTTGCTGGGAATTTTTTGAACATTTTCCTCCTGTACTCTCACATGGGGTCTTACATACTGGAAAATGTCCATAGCAACTGACTTGGACATTTGCGTTCTCACACAAAGACCTTCTGGATTATTTTAAGAAAATGTGCGGACTTTGGCGCATGTCTGCCACACACACAGTTTGGAAAACCACTAGATTAATCCACAAAATAAAAGCGAACTCTAAGCAACAATAACAGTAAAATGCTACCAACATATCCATGCATCATCAGTGTTCAAAATATTCCTAACTATTAAAGTAAATTGTTTGTAGTTTCACTTAAGTGGGATTTTGAAAGCACGACTTAATAGAGCATTGTAATGTAGCATTTTGACATTTTAATATCACAAATATAATTTAGCATTAACTTGTAAAAACAACCACAATGAGTGTCAGATACTAAGTAGCAGAAATATGAAAATTCTACAGCAAAATAGAAATATCCTGATAATGTAGTAACAAAAGTCATATTTCGAAACAAGAAGTATGAAAATCAAGACAAACAAGTTATTGTTCGCAGTGACGGCTTCTCGATAAAGATGCAAACTAATGTATAATTAAAGAGATAGACAATTATAATTATCATTATAACAATAATGAAAACAAACATTCTGTGTTTTACCATATAAAAGATAAGTCCTTTAAAATAAGTGAGGATAGTTTATAGTCCACCTTTGCCTGGGTGTTGTCAGTACAGGGTACTTTTGCTCCCATAATTCTCATATAGAAAACTTCAAGAACTAAAGTTAAACACAAGATTAAACATTAAATTGTGTTCTGACCATAGTAGTCCCAGAACAGGATGTTCATAATTGGACCATCCTGTTCCTGCATCTTTTCTGAAAATGATTCCCCTGCATGAGCCCCTTCAAGGTAAACACAAGACCAACACATGCTGCTGAAACCTGAAGAAAGCCTGCATGTCAGGTATTAACTGATCAGTGACTATTGCTGGGGGTTATACTGAACAGCCACAAACTTTCAGAATGTGTGTTTTTCTGAAGTTTTGAGATGTGTGTGTGTCTCTCTCTCTTTAATTTCTATACTGCACACACAGGATCTAATTGGTTTGTTCTCCGGCTAAATCACAAGTATGCATGCTAATGCATTCAATCTGGGCAATGGCTCTCAGAACTGATTTCACATGAACAATGATGACGAAAAGATGTAAATGCCCACATTTACTGTAATTGGTCTTGGGCACATTGTCTGCATTGTGTGTTTTGTCATGCAAATAGATTTTTAAATGTGAGGTTGCCTATAAAGTTGGGCAGACATACTTCCATGTTATTATCCCCCCTTAGTTTTACCTTTTCAATGGAAATCAGTGGATTCTCGAATGGCATGCGAGACAGGTTTGCATGTAAATGATGGCACCGGGGGAAGGTCCTTCCTCTGATCTTCTGTGCATTTCTAATACGCTCCCTTCAATGAGGTTAGGAGAATGGGCCTCGGTTACACGCCTGTAATTGGCTATTCATTGGGATAATCTAACATCAAGTCTTGTCATGTCCAAAACCGTGTCCGGCATGGAAGGAAAAAGAAAGTGAAACTTTATGATGGAGTTTAAAGAACTTCTCAGACAGAAAATATTGCTTGAAATATTTTCACCTTTACATTTATAATATCTAATAAGTTAGAGTTTAGACACATAAATACAACAAAATAAAACATATATAAATTACTAAAGTGAGTGTTATGTTTTGTTAATGAAATGATTTGAGGTTTTAAACATTTTAAATTATGTGTTTAGTTATTGATTATAAATTCCTTTTCATGACAACCTGTAGGATAGTTTAATTTGTTCATAGGTTCTATAGAAATAATTGAAAATGGAGATTTGGCAATTATTTTTTAGAATGATTATGTTTCTAATACATTTTCTTATTATTATAGTTGTTCATAGATTATTATTATCACAATTGTATTTATTGTAGTTTAAGCCTATATGTGTAATAAATTGTTGTATACTCTGTAGATGATGATGCTTTGCAGACTTATAGACACATATATGCTGAATTTGAAAAAGAGTGCTATCCAGTATGGACCACATGGCCATCGGGCCTGGTTGTGGGGCAGGGGGAGCTTTGGCAAACGACCACCCGAGCAGAGGAGTCCTCGCTCCGGCCACAGATCAAGCCACCGGGGCCTTGAACCTGACCCCTCAGGACCATCTGAGGCCGAGCTTGTCACATCGCATTCCCGCTGGCACTTTTGTTACCACGGGGGGAGTTCAGCACATAGATAGATAGAGTGGCCGTCCGTAAACCCCCAAGCTCTCTCCCCCCTCTTCTTCCCCCGATTACCCGCGGCGCTCCCGGTGCTGACACTGGGGGGACGAAACCCGCAGCGGAGCGCCGCGTCTGAATGGCGGAGCACCGAGGAGGCCGAGGCGGAGCGAGGAGGGAGGCGGCGAGGCCTTTGTAGTCGGGGAGGAATGCGGAAATGTCCCCGCTCCGTGTCAAACCTCTCTGAAGGGGGTCAGGCCACATTCAGCCGGCGTGGGAAAGGCAGGCAGAGCCGGAGCTCACACACACACACACACACACAGAGGCAGGAGCGGGGCTGCAGTTGCATATATACATAGGGCCGATCCGGGGATATATGCACTAAAGAGAGAGAGAGAGGGGAAGAGAAAGAAACATCCAAAAGAGGAGCTTGATTTTTTTGTTGTTGTTGGAGGGGCTATATCACGCGTTTGCCTTTGTGCTGTGACCCCCTCCCCACCCAACACGCCTCATCCCCTTCCCCTACACACTAACTTGCAGTGAGAGTGTGTGTGTTAGTACAGCCCTCCACCACCACCGCCCTCCTCCCCTTGTGTGAGTGTCTCTGCCGGGGCTGGTGCCGAGTCTGAGGCATGGGGGGTTAAAGAGGAGGACTGCATGCACCCGTCCCCCCCACCCCCCCCAAAAAAACTACCTGTGTGGCCCCCGCATGCACGCATGTGGAGGAAAGAGGACAGCGGACCGGGGATGCGTTTGATGCGGAGACAAGGTCTTATTATCCCCGAGACAACAACAGCGACGAGCGCCTCCTCAGCATTTTATCGGACATTTATTGACAACGTAAAAATAAGGTAAACACTGCAAACGGTGGGGGTGTGGGGGGTTATTAGTGGTGGATGTGATGCCAAAATGTGTTTAAGGAGCCGCTTTAAAATTCAATATCATTTTAAAGCGAGCGAAACGTGCAACTCCTTTGATTTGTTAGTGTAACTTTAATTGGGCTGCGCGCAATTAAATTAATATAAATTAAAGGAAGCAGCCGAAGCTGATGAAAACACGTCTAAAACTCCTTTATGAAACCGTTTGACGTATTTATAGCGATTTCCGGACCAAAAGGCGTGTTTTACTGTTTTTTTAAAGGACTTTTGCTGTAGGAAGTTCAGACAATGCAATCAGTAGACAGCCACGTGCTCGCCAAAGTTTTTGTCGCCTCAAACATAAACTTTGATTAAGCTGGTGATCTGTTAGTTAAGTGACTTAACCAACCCACAAGCTGGATATGTCATGTATGTGCGTGTTCTCTTTTAAAACTGTGTTTTAATTTCCCCTTTTAACAGATTAAGACTTGCAGCCTCACATGAACATAACTTCAGCAACACCACGCGTGGAGGAAACTTTTTATTTTATTTTTGACAATAAGACAGTTTATTCAACTTAAAGGCGGATAAGAAAGAGAGCGTGTTATTTGAATTATTTCACATTATTTTGTGTTTGAGGGGTTGGAGGACATGAGCCGCTGTGCGTAATAGAGAAGGAGGAGGAGTGGACGTAGGGAAGCAGCGCTACCCTTGTGTTGATAGTCGGAATAAAACATGACAGTGCTGTTGTTGCCTACCTGGAGCATAGTTTGACCAATAACCTGACAAAGATGGTGACTTCCTCCATCTGTGTCTTCTCCCTCTCCTCTATAGGCATGGCATGTGCCGACTCTCTTCTGTGAATATGCCTTCGTAAAGTTCTCTGGCTCGCCAACACTCGCCGGGATTCCCCGCAATATTTTCAACAAGAGACGGAGGCAGAGAGACAGAGAGGAAAGGGAAAAAATATTCTGCAAAAATGGACAGAGAGAGTATTGGCACTCAGTATGAGCCCGTCGCCGAGATCGGAGAAGGCGCTTATGGGAAAGTGTACAAGGCGAGGGACCTGAAGAACGGGGGCCGATTTGTAGCCCTGAAAAGAGTTCGAGTCCAGACGGAGGAAGAAGGGATGCCTCTTTCCACCATCCGGGAGGTGGCGGTACTGAGGCAGCTTGAGGCCTTCGAGCACCCCAATGTTGTAAGGTAAGTGAGAGGGCAGAGGTGGGCAGCCCAGTGTGTGTGTCTGTGTGAAATGTTGTGTTTTCGTTTTTGATGATCTCTGTTGATTATCATGGTGCCTCACAGGGCTGGACGATATGGCTGGAAATTATATCAAGGCGTTACTTTTTCACATCAGTCGATATCGATAATTATCGCGTTAAATGTACGTTATTGTTTAAAGTTTTAAAAATGGATGTTTTGCTCCTGAGTGAAGGCTCTGGTTTTAAACTCTTTGTGAGTAGAAAGTTACACTTAATAAACAGCTAACCCATTTTACAAATCTGAGTTAGATCTGTGTTATACCTCTTCACTCTGCTTGCATTATGCAGAAGCAATATATCAATATATATTGGATGTTTGTCACATTAATATTGAAGGACATTATAATGCACTCATTTATATTTTTTATGGCCCAGCTGGTGCTTCACATGTCCCACAGTAGACACATTTTTGCAGCAGAAGTCCGTCTTTGACACTTTACTGCTGACAATATGAAAACATGCAGCACAACAACTAGCCTGTTGCTGTCACTGACAGTTGATGCATGCACACCTGTCAGACCCCAACTTTCACCTTTTCCCATTACTGGTTACTGCTCTACAGTCATTGGTTGAATCCAGTCACACAGATTGAGCTCATGTATGTATCTCTAAAACACTCAACCCCACTCAGCATTCAACATAAGTCTTCTCTGCTTTAAAGCCACAACATCCTTAAAAACGGGTCACTTCCCGTCCCACTTTTCCCTGGGAAATGCTTCTGGTTTATATGTTAAAGTGGAACAGAGTATGTATGTTTTAAAAACATATTTTTATATGTTTAAAAAAGACATCATGATCTCTTTTCTCGCAGTGATAGCACCTCTCAGCGTGGGAAAATTGCAGTTTCAATTCAAAGTTGACCTTCCTAATGATTTGACCTTCACCTTTCCGTAAGATCATTATAACTTATATTATTAATAATTATAAACCTGATTATATTCATTATTTGTAATTAAATATTCACTGATTACATTTTTAAAAACCTTTGGCTAAATCAATTTGACCAAATTGACAATTTAAGTTCAAGTGGACTTGGGCTGCAATTATCTAGGATTTAAATACCGATAAATCTGTTTCAATAGTTATATTGTTCATAAAAAGTCAAAGTGTATTATAAGTCATCAAATAGCTTGTTTTGCTTTCACCAACTTTCACAAAATAAGACTGAAAAGAAATTATATACCCTTGAAAAGTTGCAGTCAATGATTATTTAAATATCTAACATTCATAAATTATGATTGATTTGAAGTTGAATTATATATTAATAAAACATATTTTCAATGATTAATCATTGAGCAGCGAATCAACATATTGACAAATTGTTTCAGTTCCAAAGCAAATGCTGACCCAAGCAGGGGGGCAGATCCAAGATCAACAATGAGACGGTCACCATATTTAAATTCACTAGTCACATATCACAGATTCGATGCATTTTGTATATGTGCGCCCCCCAATCACACTTTACTCTGCCAGAGTGCCCACGAGCATGACGGCAACAATCTCCTTGCTCAGCTGTGGAAAGCCAGATTGGATTTACTGACTATATTTGAAGTAAAGTTACATAGAGCCCAGTTTTTATAGTTCATGTCTTCACTACTGGACACAGAGAGGACATTTTCTTTCAGTTTTGTATTGAGTTGTTCACTGAGGTCAATAGTCAGATAAGGCGTCATATGCCTGCACTGGCCAAGGCCTGACCTTGGAAGTTGTTTTATTATGGGATATTGAGTGCTTTGGGATTGAAGGGGAAGTTCTAAGTGGACTTTTAGAAGCATGGCGAGTACCAGTTTGCCTCTAACAATAATTCTCTAGTGTATAAATGAATAATGGAGGATAATGGTTATGGTTTTCTCCTAAAGGAATCACAATGGCCTTTGTTCTCAGTGGAAGGCAGTGTACATTGAAGCTGTCTTAGGTCAATTTTACACAGTGGTTAAATTAATTTTGTTTGCTACTGTGACATCATGAGTTGAGTGAGAATATGCAGTAGCATTTGTCGCGATAATGTGCTGTAAGAGTGCAAACTGTCGGGCTCATTGAACCATCAGAGGAACCCCACTATCCTCCGGTTTAGCCAGGCAGCATTGCCAAGCAGCTCAGGCCAGGAAGAGTGCATTGTGGGCTTTCTGTGTGACTCCAGGCAACCCCTGGATGTTTGTAATGCGGCCCATTATTCATTCCACATGTTCAGTGTCTGCTGAGAGCCCACATTGTAGCCCAACAATCGAGCAGTGAGGGGCGTTTAACCCCGGAACTTCAAGAGGAGGGCGCAGTCTTTGCTGTGACATCATGCACAGAACTAATATCTTGAACGGATCGCCTCTCACACACTTTTCTGACTGTAGCATTTCCAAGTCTGCTGATTACAAGCGTGTTGGCATGGACACGTGATGTCTTGTTGGATGGGAATGAAAGGGTTTCTGGACAGATTTAGTCAGCCCTTTCCATGCTTCAATTTAAAACAGATAATGTAGATTAGCCTGTCTGAATAATAGCATCATGCATTGGAATTACTGATGTGGCATTGAGTAGCATCACTCTGAATTCACATTAGCAGCAACAATCATCGATTCAATCTCTTAGGTGTCATTATTTTGTTAGCTTCTATCTTACTTAGCATAGTTAGCTAAGTAAAACGTATACTCAATCAGTCATTATGCCTTGAAAGCACATTGGGATTACACATTGTCGAAAAAGACATTGTAGGTGAATTGTTGGTGAAGTGATGAGGGACACAATCATCCCACTTCTGTTATGTAAATGGACCTATTTAACAATACAAAACATATTTACCTCTTTATTCATTTGCCGTTAAAAATAATTATGCTATAGAGGAAAAGTAATGTGATTACAGTAATATATCACTGGCACAACATGCGTCAGATGGAGATCCATCCAATATCCCTTCATCTCCTCTGTTATCCCAATGAAAGATGCTGCCTTCACTTCGGTCCACTTCCTATAGAGCATCAGGAGTTGTCATGGCACCGGTTGAGGAATGTTACTTGTTGTTCCCAGCTCTTTGAAGACGACATACTGGATAGATTTTTTTTCCCGGCTTTTCACTAAAGCCTCCCTTGGCAGGTCTGCTGACATAATCTGGATTCTTGGCCTTAGTTAGTTGCCCAGTGAAACACAACCAAGAACATTGGGGTCTGGGGCTCGATAGTCTTGAATCCATTGAAGTTTAGCATTTAGCGTGGAACTGGATGACTTTTTCAGAGTAACCTGAGAGAGCGATATCAGCTCAACCCACAGGAGATTGTTAATCTGTTTATTTTCCGGAGTTTGCCTTACACATATTAAGAACGCAGCACATGAGTTGACTATATGTAAATCATACATTCATTACAGAAAAAATGGACATGAGGCAGGACATGACTTATACATTTTGTTGCGGAAATCAGTGTTTTAAACCCAGGCATTGATCCAATCACAGCTGAAGTCGTCTTTCTGTCTATGTCAGAGTCATTATCATGATGTGAAACTGCAGCTGACTTGGATTTAAGTAGTGCCTTGCTCATGTGCTCAATATGCCTGAAAGGAATATTGTTATATAACATTATATATATGTATGTGTGTATAAAAGTCCAGGCCACCATTGATCAGAGAGGAGATGTGGTCTTTATGCTGTTGAAGCTTTAGCACAATGTACAACTCTACCCTCTTGTTCCAGGTTGTTTGACGTGTGCACAGTCTCTCGAACTGACCGAGAAACCAAACTCACCCTGGTCTTTGAGCACGTGGATCAGGACCTGACCACCTACCTGGAGAAGGCCCCTGACCCTGGAGTACCACCTGAGACCATCAAGGTAATCCTTCTTTTCTACAACTACCAGATAATGAAAGTGGTGAATTGGAAACTGGAGTCTTTGAATGGTCAGCAAGGCCGTTTTCAAACATGACATTAAGTGTCCAAAAATTGGGTCCAGACATTTCCCGGAGTTTACCTTTCACATATAAGGGTGCACCGCAGCAGGAGATGTCCAGACATGATGTGGAAATTCCACTGCAAAATCACTCGTCTTCTCAACAAAGATTCTAGAATCTCGTCCTTACAAGTTGACGACTTCGTCTGCATCTTCTATCTGTAGGGTGCTGCTCTTTCATCCTGAGATATTTGTATTATTTCAGTTTCGTGTCTGTCGCATGTAAAAAAGTTCATCAACATAATCACCTGCTTGACTGAGGGCTGGCACGATTAAGTTGCTGAAAATGGCAAGAGAAACTGACTTGCATAGTCCCCTAGAGAAACTTCCAGGAAAATGTCTGGTCTTCTGTGCAAACAGTCACACATTACAAAACATTTCAATTTCAAGTATTTCTATTTGAAATATGAGGAAAGCTACTTGCTAAACCTCTCTGGAATGACTGTTGCATGTCTGTATGGTACAGAGTGCGCTTTCTTGGCCGGAGACGTGGAGGACAGAGTGCAGCTCCCTCTAACATCAGAGGTACCAGACCGTTTGAAGGGCAGCACATGTGGCAGATGGGCTCTAAATTAAAGGCTCCTTCTCTATTTTCATTTTGAGCTCTCACTGCTGCTCTACACTGTGTTACAGATGGAGACAGAGAAAATGTGTGTGTGTGAGAAAATGGATTTAAAAAACCAAGAGTGTATTTCATGGTCACTCCTCCTCTGTGTTAACCATTCTATTGAAGGTACAAAACCTTCTCACTCAACACTGCTATCAGTTTCTCCAATTCATTAAATAAATCCACAGAGTGTCCACTTACACCTTTGCCGAAAGCTCGGAAGTGGATTTGTCGCCAGGTCCTTTCCTCCGTAACCGTCTTCTTTTATTTTAATCTTTCCCACACAAACCCCTTTTTGAAAATCTCTTTATCGTGTTTCACCCCAAAGGTCTGTCGATACACCGCGGACATAACCGCAGGGGTATGCCTCTATTTTTGGACAGAGGGACCTCCGATTTTAAAGTGTCATGTTTGAAACGGAGAAGTTGTTGGAGCTAGAGTAACCATCGGTTTTCACCCCAGGGCTGGGTTTATGTTTGAAAGTTTTGTGTCAGGCTGTAATGTTGGCGAGATGCTGTGCAAGCGTAGACGAGTCAGGTAGATCCCACCCGAGGCTTTCCCAGCGTTTCTTTCTTTTTTTTGCTGAAGTCGATACAGGATGTGGGGCTGTAGTTTCTGTGGGTGCCTGTGTAGTGGTGTGATTGTTAGACCTCAAATATTTTACTTCTGCAGCAATACTGAACCCTATTTACCTAATGTGAACCTGTGACATTTTCTGGAGTTTCACATTTGAAGAATGCAACGGGAGGTTGTTCACATCAGATGCATTCACAATAACAAGAATGTTTTCAGAACATTCAGATGACAGGAGGCTAGATTATGCAGAATGCTGAACATTACATATAAATTCTGTTGCGGAAATCTTTTCCTCTGCCTTTATCACCAAAAGCTCTTGAATCTATTCCATCTATTGTTCCATTTTTGTGTACGTTGTATGTTAGAAACAGCATCAACACCAACACTGGCTCGCTCTGATCTTTCTGGACATTTTCCCGGCTGTATTCTCTCACTGGCTCACTCATTTTCAGGGCCAGGAACAGAACTGTGTATGTCCAGAACATCTGATATTTGCGTTCTCACATACAGCCTCTGGAAAATTTCAGAAAAATGTCTGGGCTTCAGTGCCTGTCTGAAAGCAATGTTAATGTGACCAGATCTTCACGTCAGTCACAAATGTAAACACAAAAAGCTTTAACCTAATAAAGCATAAATAGATGAGATTCATGTCTTTATTGAATATGTACAGTAATGGTGGGAAAAAAAAAACTAAACCTCCTTTGGTAGCAATACTCTCATACAACTACTTTCTGGAACTCTTGAACAGACCTGCCCAATGTTGAGGATAAGTTTCTTCTTACAGAACTATTTCAGCTCACTGATTAGTTTTAGGCCGCCTAATGTGAAAGGTGTAGATCCTTGTGCACAGCGGGGCTTGAGCAATTTCAATGTTTTGTGAAATGTTTATTGAATAAATAGAAAATAATTCATTCCTGGCATCCGGATGTGCGCTGGGACTCTTTATTTTCCATTTTCTGATTAGATTTATTTTGAGCTTCAGCTGGTGAACAATCACCCTGACGTCCTATATGAAACTCTGATAAAGACCCAGAGACAGAGATGCAGCCTCAGTGTGATGACACTGGTATAAAATGCTCTTCTTACCCCATGTAGTTTTCATTAGTCAGAAAACATAGTCCCTGTACTGTTGTATAGTGTTGCTCTCTTGTCCAAACGTCTGGCCTCAGAAATGTTTGTTCAGGAGCAGCTTCCTCCATGATTTACATATGATCAGAGGATATGAATACGATTCAGTTTAGCCTTTAGCTCTGGGGGTTTAACCTCACTAAACGTTCTGCTAAATCACCCTCATTTATAATTTGTCTGACAGTGTACTGATGAATATCTGCACTCTTTAAAATGACTGTTCACATTCCCAGCTTTATGCAAATCACCAGTGTAAGACGGACGCCTGGTTCACATCAGCAGGTGCTTCAAGGAAATCAAATTCAAAATGCTCTGAAAGATTTTTTTCACTATGGATAAGAACAAAACAGCCAGTTATCTGATATGTTTGTTCAAAAATCAAAACACATTTTAAGACAAATTTATACATGAGGTTTGGTTATGTTTTCTTTACTGTATGTCTGTCTGTCGGCAGGATTAAGCAAAAACTACCAAACCGATTTTTTTGAAACTTGTTGGAAGGGTGGGGTTTGGGCCTGTTAACCTTTGGAGATTATTTGATATATTTTTTTTTTTCACTTACTTTAACAGTGGTACTGTGTTTTTCTACATGTTTGTAAATGTCCCAATAAATTATGAATGGATCTAGATGAAAAAGATCAGGTTGTGTGTGCTCTACCAAGTGTCATTGTAGTTGTTTGTTATTTTTCTGAGCTGAAATAACTTACTGAATTGTCTGCGGAATATCTTTTTTAACATTAACATCTCAAATTTGAAGATTTTCTTTTCTTTGTTTTGTATAACTTTCAACTGAATCTCTTTTGGATTTAGAGTGTAACCAAAAAAACATGTCACCTTTAGCTTTATTAAAATAATTGTTCTTGTTCCAGTAATTTTAACCAATTTCGTTTTTCTTTAATTATGAATTTGAAACCCTTTATTAATTAATAGCAGTGTGTTGGGGATGAGCTGGTTGATTATTCCATCAACAGAAAATTAACGGACAATTGATTTGTTGAGCATTTTCCAATATAAATGGTGATTAACCAGTAGATCAATACAGGCTGATGGATTAATGGAAGGAATTAATCATTATAGCTGCAGTCTTAATTCATGGATCTTGCATCCTATATCTTTTTGAAAACATTTCTGTGGTGGTCAGATTGAAGTGAACTAAAAAAAAAAAAAAGACAACAAAAGAGCTTGAGATAGAAGTTGAAACCTTTGCCTCTTGCTTGGAGGCCTTTCTTTTAAATGTTACAAAAATTAGTGGACGTAACCCCCCCATAGCTCACACACACACAATTCTAACGTTGGGAGCGGACGTTTCTGACGCTGTCCTACAATGCAACAAGCACTTTGTTTGAAGCATGGTGACCCCTTCGGCACACCTCCTTCCTTTTGCTTTCTCCTCACATCCATACAGCTGGAGTCTTGAGTGGACAAAAGGACAATGATGGAGTGACAAGATGGCCCAGGCGCCATCCCCTGTTATTTCTAGGACAGTGGATACTGCACAGTAACCCCCAGTGTAGCCCTCCCCCTCCTTGATAATTTACCACCAGATGACCAATCCCTTTCCAACAATCCCGATTTTGGCTCACCTCTACCTATCGGATTAAATGCCTACCTCTTCAGTGTTACTTTTGAATTCATCCACATTTAACAAAGAAGAACAGGCACATACTTTTTTCTCAACGCCGATCTACCCCCAGCACCAGACACCCCACCCTGGTCCACCCCTGTCCACTCCAGCCCCCCCACCCTCCACCACCCATTCGGCCTTCCTCAGACTCGAGACCCACCACATGCTCATTGATGAAAGAGGCCCTCCTCCAGCAATCAAATGAGCTGGAAGGACATCAAGCGGCCGGGCTGCCCCAGCCTCGGTGCTCCTCGGCCGGGCCGGCGCTTGAGACTCGCCCACCCTCCTGCGCCGCCACCGTCCAAGCTTCCACTCTTCCATTCTGAGGGCCCATAAAGGGGGAGGTTAATGAAGCATGGGGAGGGAATTACACTAACGCTAACCGGCAGATGTCCCATATTGTGCTTGGCTACAATAAACAATATGGCTGCCTCTGGTCCATTTGCATTAGAAAGGGAGGCGCACTGAGAAAGCCATGTTTTGACTGCATCTTGCGGAGGGCTGACTACTTTTTTCCCTGGTCCTTTTTCCTTTTTTTCAGGGTCAGATCTGTTGCCTTTTTGTGTGATTTGGTTTCCTCCTGGCCAAGTTGTTTATGGGGGTTTTCTTTTTGGTTGAAGTGTTGCCAGTTGAAGACAGTTGTGCGTTGAACAACTCATGTGAGTCTCCTTGGTGCTGGAGCTTTTCTTCGGCTCCGAGTAGGATCTCTTTCACCCCCTTGTGTCATGTGGCTGTTAAACTTTGAGGCATCGTTCGGCCGACCACTTTAACCTCGGCACTTTGGATTTCAGACAGATTCACGCTGTATGTCATGCAGTCGAACACAGCTGGGATATTTCTCATCACTCAGTTGTGAGGTGAGGGTAATTGATCCGGTAGAGAGGAGGATGGCACCCGGGCCAAAGGGCCAAGATTGTTTGTGTGTTTGTCCAAGAGTCACACTTCTGAGATAATTGGTGTTTACTCAGAAATGCTGCTGAAAGGAAGCACGGTGAAATGGCTATTTAAAGCAGAGAGGAACTAATGGGGGTGGGGGGTGCTATTGTGTCACACACACACACACACACACACACACACACACACACACACACACACACACACACATACACATACAAAAAATAACCAACTACCCGCCTCTGTCCTATGGCCCTGTCTGTCTGCTGCCCTGCTCTCTAGGTCATGGCTGGATGGAGATGTAGAAAGGAAGGTCTGTTTATGCATCCTGCCTGTTCCTGGTCAGAGGGCACCCCCACCCCCCACACACACACACTTGCTCAGCCTGGGAATCACACACACAAATGAAAATGTAGATGTAAAGTAACATTAACACAAACCCAGGGGGGAGGGGGCATTCACTCACATCATTCCCCACCTCTGCGGTGCTGTGTTGGGGGCTCCCGTCTCCACCACTGCGGCCAGCGCAGCAGCCTGCCCCGCGCCGTTTGCTAATGTTTTCTGCTTGACTGTGCAGACCCCTTTGACTCACTCACCAGCTGGTCGGCTAGTGAATAGAGCTGCGGGCTCGGGTCCATGTCACTTGTGAGGTCTTGGGTTTTGGGGTGTGTGTGTGTGTGTATAAGAGAGAGTGTGTGTGTTTTGAAGGGGGAGTGTATGGTGTACAATGCACACCCGGCATCACAGCATTTCACTGCACCAACATTTCTCCTTTATCTACATGTTTTCCTTTTCAAACAGACAAAAATCACCCTCTGATATCAATTCTTATCTTATAAGAGATCATCCCAACACTTCCTACCTCTGCCAAAACCTGGTTATGCTACTTCACAATTACTTATTTGTGTACAGGTGCAGCGCCGGTTGGAGCATTTCAGTTTGAAAAGAACATGTCGATGCAGGTTGACATAGCTGGTTCCTGCTCGCACCAGTTTGTGTTGTCAGTTTGTCATGGATGCAGCGCCTGTGGCCATCTCTGAGGTCAGCGTATGGGCATAAAAAGAAAACCGGCGCCAATTAACTCAAGCAGGACAGCTGCCGAGGAACAGAGATCCGTGCTCACACAGAGCGGGGCCTCTCTTTGCCTCTATCGAGCGTGTGTGTGTGTGTGTGTGTCAGTTATCAAACATCTGCCACAGTCAACAAAAAAAAGACACAGGCCTCCTCAAGTTAACTCCCTCTCTATCTAAATGTCTCAGCCATTCTACTTAACTTCTCACTGCAGGTCTCATTCTCATTCTTTTCTCACTGGTCTGACAGAGGAATGACTTCAAATGTTGTTCTACAGGTGCCAGGTCACAAAACCATCTGTCTTTGACTTTTTCTCTGACAATAAAGGCCGAACGTTTTTAGGAAATTCAATTTAACAGATCAGATTAAATGATTCAGATCCATAAATAAAAATCTGGTCAAACTTTTTCCACAAAATAATATAAAAGATCCTCACTCCATTTTGTCGTCTCACAGGATATGATGTACCAGCTGCTCCAGGGGTTGGACTTCCTGCACTCTCACCGTGTGGTCCACCGCGACCTGAAGCCCCAGAACATCCTGGTCACCAGCGGAGGACAGATCAAACTAGCAGATTTCGGCCTGGCGCGCATCTACAGCTTCCAGATGGCGCTCACCTCTGTGGTGAGTTATATGTTGTTCATATATCTAAAACACAGCAAGACTTATTTTCCTTGCACCAAACTCTGTCAGCCCACGGTTTCACAGCAGATGAACAGAAGACTAAAAGTGGGTCGCAGGATGTTTAAACTGGGTCGAAGACACAAATAGACTTGGACAAGGGAAAATTACAAGATCTATAAATGGAGGGTGATGACTGTGGTGGAAATTGTTGGTGAGAGGAATTAAATAAGAATTCTCGGATCGACCTGTCTTTTGTGATATTATTGAAGCAGGAAATACAACAGAGAATATAACAAAAATAACAAAAGAGTATATCTAAGAACATAATCTAGAATATATCAGATTCTAGATACAGCCGAATAATCACCATATTGTGATGCAGAGATCTGACCGAGGAGTTCACTCCTTCAGATATTTATATATGATATTGTGGTCCTACCACTATCATCATCCATGGTCCCTCCACCAGCTCCCACACTATTCAATCAGCACTGGATCAGCGGCAGTGCTTTTGGGTGCAAATATTTAGTTTCTTATAACGTCAAGTGAGGTCCATGCATAAAAGGTAATATAAAGTTCATGGAGTAGATAAGATCAACTATTTATTGACACTTTAGGTTGAGTCTACATATTATGTGAAGATATACCTTGAAAAAGCTTTTTTAGCTATATATAGCATAATTTTTGTACTGTGTATCATTGTCAGTTTATGCTTGTATCATATACATAATTAGGTTTGGTCTAATTGGTTACTTGTTTTTACATGTCATAATTTCCACCAGCTGCACATCCTTCAGTCCTTCAATCCTGAAGAGCATGATATTATTTTTGTACATGATTTGGAATAATTTCCTGATCACTATATAGGCTTAAGATTGTTAGCTCTTTCTTGGAAAATGTGTTTTCGGACCATATTGTTTTCTCTGATGTTGACCTTTTATCAGCTCAATCGTCTGGAGATACTATCCCACGTAATATTCCCACCAAGTCTAGTTAAAATATACGCATTTAGTCCTGTACACACACACACACACACACACACACACACACACACACACACAGAGAGAAACACATCGCTCTGAACCACCCTCCCATCTCCAGAGAGTTAGATAAAAAGCGCCTAATGTGATATAGCGGGCACTTACAGGGCATCGGCGGGTAGCTGTGGCGGCGCTGGGCCAAATGATAGGGTTTCTCTGTGTAAAGTGAGAGCCAAGGGCCCCCATGGCCCGTCTCAGGAATCCCTCAGTGGTTGTCGCAGACAGGGACGGAACAGACGAGGAGAGACAGATCCCCCTCCCACTCCAGCGTTGGTACTTTGATGTCCAACTGTTGAACTCTGGGCTCTGATGACCAGATAGTATAGAGAGGGACTGAAAGGAGTCTTTCGAGGAGCTTGAAATGAGACTTTCAGGATGAAGGCAGTAGCACCATACCTTTTTTATAAGCCTTTATTTGCATAGAGATTTTCCTGATCTGTTTCATGCTCACACAGAGAGTATGCCTTTTAGCTCCTTCACTGATAAGCCTGACCAAACCAGTTGGGTGCAGTTTTAAATTTTATTATCTTTTGTTGTTGGCCTTCCTCTTAATGTTCCAGTAAAGGTAGGGTTGATATCCTGGAAAAGCTAGTCAGAGATTCGACTATCGGTTGCAAAAATATTGAGCTGATACATCCCTCCCTCCCCCATCACCCCTTTTTTCAAAGCTACACCCATATGAACGCATGCTGCCTGACAGCTGCTAGAAGGCGACTTTTCCATGACTCGCTCTGTTACCTCGTCTCTGCTATGAGTGGTTTGATACAGTCCTGCAAAGATTTCAACATATAAAATAAAGTGTTTCAGAAACAACTTACCTTTGATGTGCTTTGCCTGTCTGAAGTTGTCGCAGTATGGTACAAGTTGAGATGGAGATGTAAATGTTAATGGCAGGAGTAGATGTTATTGGCTTTGAGTAAATGCAGAGGTTGACGTGTTCTCTAGTGGTAGCCAATCAGCGGCTCAACTTTGACCACAACTGCAATAAATAATATAGTTAATGTTACCCACTCAATCGACCGATGACGCATCAGAGTAACTGGGGAGGATTTCAGATCAGGATTATAGCTGGTGACCATGCAGGTTATTCAGGAAACTCAGGAGAACATCAACCTGTGCAGCATCTGTCCCACAAACGAAAGTGGAAGTTTCATTTCTGTATCAAACATGACAAGCGTTAGTAGCATTGTTACTGCACAACAACTGACAAGCAGCTGAGGCAGTGGACATTTCATATGCACAGAAGTGGTCATCTATACTATGTGAATCACATAAGGACTTTTAACAATTGGCATATTACATTCAAGCAAATACACGAAAAAACCACAGCATAAAGAATTTTAAGACTTGACATGTCTAATTCAAAAACAGCGATTTAGGTGCGGGTGACATCATGAAATCCAGTAGCAGTGAAAATCTTCAGTCTAGAAAGAGAAACGCGCTGCTAGCCAGTTAGCCAGTCAGCTGTTTTTTAACTCCACTTTTTTATTGGTCCCTCATTATGGTCACGATTATTCATTGTCGTTTGCTGCATAACATGAACACAACTTAAATGGGTTAGCTCATCTGAGAACATGATTTGCGCCCCATTCACATCACGTATATTTTTATTGGCAATGGTGGTGAAGACAACAATTCCCACGATCCCACACTGCCTCACGACTCAAATGAGGTCTTTTTTTTATTGTTTTGAATGAGAGACCCAGAGTGGCTCAAGTTACGCTGGAGTCCATGTACTGCAAACAAAAACATTTTTTCTAATTTCTGTTTATTATACACATATAATAACATTGTTTCACACTCTAATGAACTGTAAATATCTAATTGTAGATCTTAAGAAGCCAAGTCAAACATCACATCACAAAAAACACACATTTGAATCAAACATTACTGAAAGATAAGTGTGATAATGTAAAAATTGGTTTACTGTCTGAAATGAATATTACAGCAGGTGCTAAGGTGTTAAGACGGGTTGTACTGATACAAATCTTATGATTCATTGATTGTCAGTTGTTTATTTCACATTTTTTCAAGTTTTTTCTTAGTTTGAATAACGTGTGATTTTAGTCCAGGTCGCAGTTTCTCAGTATTATTATCAAGGGTAATTTTTTATGATTAAGATTTGTATCCACCCTGTTAATGTGAGTCATTCATCACTCTGATTGGTGATAATGCACAACTCCGTCTCAGAGGAAGTGGTACCTAACCCAGAAGTTTGTAGAGTTACACAATATTCAGCACAAGTGCTGTGTCTACTTCGCTTATAAATCAACAGGGGACACATTTTATTTTAGTCAAGGAAAGAATGCTTACCCGGGATTTCACCTTTTGGATATGAGTGACAGATATCGCACAAAACATATAAAGACACACTTTTTTCCTTCCTTGGTCATACAGATTGGGCCACAAAAATTAGATGGAGGGTGTGTGTGTGTGTGTGTGTGTGTGTGTGTGTGAGTGTGATTTCATGCATGCATGCAACGTGAGCACAGGATCTTTGGTTCCGGATGAATGTTCTTGCTGGAATCCCCCTATCTCTCCAACTCTCTCTCACACACACACACACACACACACACACACACATACACACATACACACACACACACACACACACAGTCTCCATTCATTGTTTCCTCTTGCTAATAAAAGCTTATAATCTACACTGTAAACAGAGCACATACACACACACACACTTTTTAAGAGGATCTTCCCCTTTGCCCAACAGCCCAGCAGTTACTTATTTAGTCACCTAATGCCACCGTTACTGGCAGACAGATGGGCTTTTGCAGAAATGCTGTTGCCTAAGCGAATGCGACTCTTCTGTCTCACTTTCATGGTGAATCATTTTGCACCTCTAGAATGATGTGACAGTCGGAGAGAGCATTTGCATAACGTTACCAGAAATTGTCCCTTTCTCCTCTCTTCTCATTTATTTTTCTTCTTGCTTAAAGTTGCACCCGTACATTTCTGCTGATGACTGTCGAACTTCTCGTTTTGTGATGAATTTGCTTTCTCACATAGCAGCGAGCTGGTGTGTTCATATGTCACTGACAAAAAATGTGGTCTGGGTGTGTATATATAAGAAAAACAAAAAAAACCTGTGGAGTCGTGGTGCTTTTGCTATGGTTGTGTTTCACTGATGGCCTTATTGAAACCGCTCACCTGCCATGTTTTACATACTTCACCCTCCCAGAGAGAGAGAGAGAGAGAGAGAGTGAGAGAGAGAGAGAGAGAGACCACCCATTGGGTTGGTACAGGGGTCCAGATTAGGCGGCCCCTGCCAAGTCCCTCAGGGTTTGTTGCTTTGTTGATGGTTTTTTAATGACCCCAGTCTGGCCTACAGCTTCATTGTGCTGGCGTGAGTGACGGGCAGATGGGAGAAGCTGATGGGTTAATGTGACATACCAGAATAAGAGTGGAGAAGGATCTTTTCTCGGGCCGTCTCACCGAGGCCCCATTCCTGCTAAAGCACTTGAGGGAAAAACATTTTCTTTTGATGTCATTTGAATTATGAATAAATGCTACAGCAAATGTTTGTTCAAAATACAACCCAAGAGTTTGCCGCATCAAAGAAATTCCTTTGTGTAAAGAGTTAAAACATGACTTATTATTTAAATACTGCTGCAGAATTGGGTTTGATCAATTCATTTTTTTTAACGTTCCATCATCTTAATTGGACTCAGCTTAATGTTTAGGGTTTCTAAGCTTTTGGTCCAAGAGTGATTACTTGCTCTTAGGTTTGTGAGAATTAACTAGGATGTCGTCCCGAGAACTCAAGTTCATAAGCCCTGCTTTCCAACCAGTCAGCTGCTTCTTGCATTGCCACTCGTCACATTAGTGCACAGCAAAGATATTAATCTGAACAGTATGTAAATAACAGTGATAGCTTTCTTCAAGATCCTCTTCGAAGATGTATCTAATGACGTTTTCAGATATGAACCATGTCTCGACTTTTAGCTC